TCTCCTACGAAGGACCTCTTACTGCAAAACAAAATTTGTTATTTTACATCTGATTTTGACGAAAATTTCCACAAAACATATATGATATAAACTCATGCTTGCAACTGTCGGCTCTCTATACAGAACCGTTTTAGAAATTAAAAAAACGAAGGTGCAAAATACATCCTTCTAATATTACAAAAAAGAATTTTTTCAGATAACAACTTAGAAATATCGAAATAGTTTTGAATCGGTTTGAAAAGTGCTCTACAATAAGATATAAGAAATAATTATTTGTAATATTTTAAATTTTTCCTCAAACTTGAAGTCAAGAAAGACACAAAATAAATTTAGTCACGGAAATGTCAAGTTTAAAGAAGTAGATTCTTGAGTAGTTTTTCAACAAACCACTATTGCCACGAGATTTAGTGTGATCGATTACCTATGTTTCATCGACGGCCAGACGCTACTTGATGCAATATTTTACAATATTTGACATCAATACTTCATATTCTTTTTATATCCCTATTTCACAACTTTCGTCTTTGCTTTTCTGTTAATCCACATTGATTAAACTAAGAGCATATACTTTTTGACTGTACCAAATTAGATATGCACCAGTTAAAACCTGGTATTGTGGCATCCGGGAGAAGTGCTGTACATCGGTTATCAAGATTCGCTCAGAGCTGCGGAACATCTCATTTTGAAGAAAACTGTTAATTCTACACAATACAGTTATTAGAAAACTTCCATAGTTATTTCTAATAGAACTTAGAACATTCTAAAATGCAGTAAATCACAAAAATAAAACTGTGTTTTGAAAGTTTTCAGAAGCTAACGGTTTTTTTTCTGATTTAGCACATTTTAGAATGCTCTAGGTTTTGTTCTGCAGCTATTTAAAAATAACATTGTTTTGAAAAGCGGTGAATTATTTTTGCAAAATATTTTTCAGTGTTGGAGATCACCGTTGAAAATCAAGCGCTCACTTGATTCCCATTTTGAAGAATATACTTTGGGCTATCTATCCACGAAAAAAGTAAAGTTTATTTTCACTTTGATTTCTGTAGAACTAAATAATTTTTCCGAAGATTCTCACAAAAAACTTTTTCGAAAAGTCTTCCAGCTGAAAGATCTTTTTGGAATTTTCAGAGGAAACTATTCAATCAGGCTTCACATCTCTGTTTGAAATTTCCTTGAAAAGAAAGAACTTTGCCTTGATCCGAATTCCTTTTCGTTTACGTATAAAACAGAAAGCAGACTTCGTCGTATCTTCAATCTTAGTAGATGTCTTCCGGCACACCCTGTTTCTATTTATTAGCCGAGGTCGTTTGTCGGGATCCAACAGCAGATCGAAGTGTTGAAATAAAAAATAAAATACTACGCAGTATGTTGCCGAGCAGTACTGTTGAGAAATCCACTTTCTCTTCCCTTTAGTTGTCATTTTCTTCGTATCATATGATTATGAATAAAAAAATGAGAGCTTAACAAATGATACGACGCAGCTGTCAGCGATCACACAGTTCTCGCTTAGTCGCTTTCTTTTCTCTACTACATATTTCTGTTCTTTTTTGAAGAATTATTATCGACGATATACATTCTAAAAAGGTATTTATCCAAACTGTTTTTAAGTTAGGCAGGGCTGCGAAACATCGTAGTTCAATACGAGCTTTTTCTTCAGAGTAGTGTGTGAGTTCATTTTTTGTAGTCTTATTTAGTTTTCTTTTCGTCACAATATATTTCTAAGTAGGCGACGTCTAGATCACATCTCAGAGAGAGAGATAGAGAGAGAGCGACTTTGTCGTTGCTATATTTTCTGCTTCTTTCTAGAAAGAAAGTAAGTTTGACAGTGTGTTTCTCCATTCATTCGAAGACATTCATGCGACAACAACTCCTCCTGTGTTGGGCGAGCACTCTCGCTCTGATGGTGCTTCCATCAGAATTTGCACTGAGCTCTGGTTGTGGAAAATTTCTCCCAAGTGGCTTTTCGGCGGGTCAAACAACATCAGTACCAGTTCCCGCGGCAAATGGTCAACCCATTCGTCACTACAAGGTGCACCTATCAGCCAACTTTCAAAACAATCGAGGACACGCTATTGTCTTCTCCTTTCATGGTCACAATGGGGATATGGACAAACAAGAGGATCTATCTCAATTATCTCAAAAAGGTCTACTTATCGACGGTGCAGGAATCATCGCTGTCTATCCCAAGGGAAAGCTGGGAACGGATGGACAGACTGCTTGGCAAGGTGCACCATATTCTGCTCCTGGTGTGGATGATGTAAGTTCATTACGATCTTCTTCCACCTAGATTCAGAATGAGTTATTAATATAGATCGCCTTTGTGAACACAATGATCTCCTCGCTCCAAAGTACATTTTGCGTTGATTCATCTCGAATCTATGCAACCGGCAAGAGTAATGGTATGTTGCAATGTTTACTATTTATCTAAAGATCAGCTCCTTTTCCAAGTATACTTAATATACATTATAACTATCTAAAAAGATGAAAGTTTATTTCGGTTGTGTAAGTCAGTGACCAAGTTGGATGTAGCTGTGTTCTATAAGAAGTGCGAGCAATTTCAATCCGATCAGCTTTGGTCCTCTCCTATTTTTTTAACGAAAGCTCACGGGACTCGGCTGCAGGTTCAAAAAGATTCTTTACAGTGGCTTTCAGTATTTGATGTCAATCTCGGGTTTTGGGAAATCGTGAAAGGAAGAAGCTAACATTTGCTTCTATCGTGCAATTTGGAGGTTCAACCCACTTCTGAGTACGCCTGATTCTTCATAGAAGAGAGCTATATCCAAGTTGGTCACTAACTCTCATACTCTGATTAAAACTCGACTTTTTTTCTAGATAGGTAAATTTCCAACCCTTTTATAAGAAGTAGTAGAGACCTATGGATTCATCCATTGCGAAAGTTATCGTCGTCTTAACGAGTAGTTTTCAAATTCATTATCTAAACAAACAAGTCACTGAAACATACATGACGACAAATGAATGAAGATTTTCTTCTCGACAGAATTTAAGAAGAAAAAAGATCCTTCGAACTGATATTTTGAAAATAGTTTCTGGATAGTCATGATATTTAATTAAAACTGATCTTGTGGTCGGATGCCTAAAATGTTTTTTCCTTCTGCCATCAACAGGTCGTCTGTATCTTGTAACTGCAAGTCGTCTGTTATTTCTTCTTTGCGCAAACGAAATGCTGTCCTCTAACTGTCACTCTTCCTCTCAAGAGACAGTATCACAAAAATTACAGGAAGTATAATTGAAGAGCTTTCCTTTGTCGACCGGCTTCTGATCCTTATTTATTGAAAAGAAAAAAGAACTCTACTGTATATGCCAAAACCATGTTTTTTGGAATTGTCTAGGTGCCGGATTCGTCAATCTTCTAGCCTGTACACCATGGATAGCTGCAAAGTTTGCCGCCTTTGCAACTGTTTCAGCGGCTTTCTACACGACTACATTCAACGGAGATTGTCCCACTCAACGTGCCATACCCATGCTCGACTTTCACGGTACTGCAGACCGTATCGCCTTAT